CTTCGAATGGGGATTGAGCTGATAAGCTGCCAGCAGACATCAGCAGCGCTTCTTGACTCATCCCCACAATCCTTTTGATTTCTTTTACAATGCAGATGTCTCAGAATAAGTCATACTGCTTTATTTGAATGACACCAAGTCACACCGGTTCTTCAGTGTTCAACTCAATCAATTCGTTTTATTTACTCAACATTTCCGTATAGAGCACTCCCACGTAGGGTGTCTGTCACGAAACTTGTTCTATTACCCTGTAGGACTACATGTTTGCTGGTTGTCTGCACTTAGGCTTTATTTAGTTTTCTTACTTCAAAAGTCCGTAATCTATCAATCAATCAATCAATCAATAAATCAATACGATCTCAAAAATCAATTCTCCTCCTATTATCTTGAATGCGAATTAATTTATCCTCTTATAGCAATCCGAATTTAAACTACATCAAGTCAAAATAAATTCAAAATTTAGTCTACCAATCGAGCTGTGAATCGAGAAAATTGGTTTATAAAATGAAACTGAACTTTATGACCTCAATTTGGATCAGACCTCAACTATTAGAAGAACGATTTGGTCCTAACTATGAAAACGCCGGGTAAAAAATACTCCATAACTTTTACTACTTCACAAATATACCAACAATTCTACAACAATTCATTTGACACTTCCGCGTAGATTTTCATTTAAAGTTGAACGTGAAACCCAATAGTAACAGTAATACCAAAGGGAATTTGAAGAGAATCAAAAATTCCCGAAACGATAGACATAAAACTAGTTTGGCCACCAAAAATTTGGAGCGGAAAGATACAGTAGTACTTTTTCTGACTTAAAAATGGATAAAAATGATTATATTAGCTACTTGGAGGGGGGGGGGGAGAGGTTGTTACCCGTGGATGAACGATTTATTCCCAACCGACTGTTTACATTTATTGTTTAATTTTTACACTAGATCACAATAGAATTATACAACTACGATCTGAATTCTAAAAACAGGTAACCGGCCAGGTGGAGCCTGGGATCAAATTCCATGTTGGTGGTAGCTTTCCCACCTGCCTTTCTCTCACATTCATCAGCTGGCGAACCTTTCTAAGAGTAGATTAGCCGCCCTCTTTGGAAGCCACACCTCTGCTCCTTCCTGGTGTAGGACTTTTGGGAAGCTGAATCTCTTCCAAAGCGGTCATTAGTGAACCTTGATACTCCAGTGAAAAGGCCTGCCTTTTTTGGAGCGAAAAGGTAGTCATTTTCATGAAGCTCTCATGAGGACGCCCTCGTAGTCCTTTACATAGAGCTCCTAAATGTTCTATTTGGGACTAGCTGTAGCAAAACGGTTTTTGTCTCGATTTATGCTACCAAATTCCATGATGCCTCTGGAGGCAAGTCTCGTTTTTCAAAAATTCTCCTACCTGCTTGCCCCACTCCATTTCATTGGTTAGTATTCAATGAATCCCGTGGTGTTTCTATGATCCACTACTACCTTCTGGGAATCATTCGCTCAATGGAACCCTTGTTCCAAATCAAGAAGGCATGACACAAAGGGAAGACTGAATACACTCCTCCCAACCTCCTCGATTATAATCCAATTACGGGACAATCTTCTCATTTGGACATTTGCACCTCGTCTATCTCGTTCCTACTCTTCTGCTCGTTCCTTCTTTATTGCCTAGCTTCTCAGCAAGGCTGTCATGTTTCGAGTTTTCTTGAAATTTCTGGAATCTATCAATTTAACTATCCACTCGAAAACTGGTTTAGGGGGCTCACAATTCAGCAATCAAACGCAGATGTGCGATCATGATCGCTTATGTGCGAGGAGAGATGATCAGCAGAAATTTCTGCTGTCAGAGAGATTAACACAAGAAGATGACGAGGATCATGGCTACCACACACCCAAAAACATTTTCAACGCCGAAATGTCAAGGTAAGTCTTTCAAGAAGAATTACCCAGGTATTTTCGTTCAACAGTGGGTAAGACGGAGGGATGGACTTTTGGATAGCTGCCTGGAATAACTGGCTACTTGGAAGAATCCGATACGAAGACAGATTACTGCCAAGTGTTCCCATTATCCTACTTAACATCTGATCGTTCTAGTCAGTGGAAGAATGAGTTGTACTGAGTCATTGAAATGGTCCTGGAAAGATAGTTTTTCCGGTGAACGACGGCGGGTTTTGCATCTGAACAGGATGTTTCAGTACCCTTCGACTGGGAGGATAAAGGATGACACGGAGAACTCTAAAATTCCATAGATAAGAGTGGTTAGTTTACCGGTGAAAATAGAATTGGAAAAAAATTGAAATTGAATGCAGTCATCCCTCTAACTTGATGGGTGGATAAAT